AAGACAGATAAAATAAAGTACTTCTTCACGTAGCTCATAGCTAAAGCATGGAACTTGCTCCTACAGGTGGCAGTGAATTTGGATGGCTTTAAAAGAGGATTGGGGTGGGGGACTTGGAGGATATGACTACTGACATGGATAGATATGTTCTACTCTCACAGTCAGAGTACGCTTCTGAATACCAGTTGCTGGAAACTGAGGAGGACAGAGTGCTCCCGCACTCAGATCCTGCTCAAAGGCTTCCCATGGGCATCTGGTTGGCCACTGCGAGAACAGGATACTGGACTAAATGGGCCACTGGCCTAATCCAGCTCAGCTCTTCTTATGTTCTTAAGTGATAAGCTCTGGATGGCGAGCATAGACTATCAACTAGGTAATGGAATTTAGGGACGCAGGTGGCGCTGTGGGTTAAACCACAGAGCCTAGGACTTGCCAATCAGAAGGTCGGCGGTTCAAATCCCCGCGACGGGTTGAGCTCCCGTTGCTCGGTCCCTGCTCCTGCCAACCTAGCAGTTCGAAAGCACGGCAAAGTGCAAGTAGATAAATAGGTACCACTCCGGCGGGAAGGTAAACGGTGTTTCCGTGCGCTGCTCTGATTCTCCAGAAGCGGCTTAGTCATGCTGGCCACATGACCCAGAAGCTGTCTGCGGACAAACTTATTCATGAAGGACTGACTCTTGACCCATGAATGAACCCTAATACGTCTGCACCACAGGCCAACCCACACTGCCAAAGCAATTAATCCGGAGACTCTGCTCAAAGTAATTCATAGTATGTCTATGTGCGAGTTGTAGGAGCCACATGTTTTGCCCTGCCAGTCATGGAATCTGGACCATGTTCCAGCCACAAGCAGTGTTGGTGACTTTATGCACACGGTGACTTTTGGAAGGAACTGGAGCCACAGAGAAATGTTGGTACAAAAACCTTTTACTGTTCAAACAACTGTCTCTCACTCCCCAATAATTCTGAATCTGTCTTCATATTGAAGACTAGATGCTGAGCCACCAAATTAATTTACTTGGTCAGCTCTATATGGTGAGGATATGTGTGTGTGTGTGCTTAAAAAACACACAAAAAACCACCCTGCTGTTCAAACAGCTTCCTTGTTTTGAGAAAGCACTTAATCCTCACAGAAGCAATTTCTTGTCGCTTTTATGACATGAGCCCAGGCCAGTCTATTATCGTTCAGTCTAAGTACTATATTTAACACAGTCTTCTACTTTCCTAACTCTGGTCTGACTAAAAGAGGCTGTGGGTCAGAATTGCAGTCATGAATAAAATACCACAAGGGAAGTCAAATTGTTCAACCAGCTTTTAAGCAAATTATATACATAAAGAGCCTGATTTGCAAGAGGTCCTTCAATATTTCAAAAGGGTTTCCATGCCACTGCACAGTTTCAGAAATGGAATATGAAACATTAACATAACATTATGGATGTAGCATAGAATGTGGCCCTTCCCCCAACAACTGTGCTGGTTAGCACATTTATATTCTGCCTTTACTTCACCAGTATGCATGACGTTTCTCATAGCTTCCCATCCACACCTAGACCTGCTTAGCTTCAGGAAGGTGACTCCACCATATGACCTTAGATCATGCCCTAAAGCCCTCTTCTGTTCTAGTTAGGGTTACATTCCTAATACTCACTTATTTGGAAGTAAACCCCATTGAACTGAATGGGACTTACTTCTGAGTAGACATGCACAGGTTTGTTCTGTACAGCCATATGAAGAAGAGGATATTTTTGTCTAAGTTCACATGCAGCCATGTTGCCAGCTGCATTGCATGGAATCCATTCTGTAGATTCATGCAGTGAGTGTATGTTGTCTAACTCTCCTCTTCCCAACACAGCACTGGGCCATCACTCCAAATTCCACATCAGCTGCTGGAATCTCAGTTTCAGGATTCCACAAGCAGATAACAGACATGCCACAACAAGCAACAGCTCCAGATAACTGATTCAAGCAAACAAGCTAAATAGAATGGAATCTGGTATAATAATCATCATCATCATCATCATCATCATGGTTGTTTAGAACTTGAGGAGTGTCAATTTATCATTGGAGACAACTGCTAGATGGATTATGTAATGTTCTCATTCCTTTTATATTATTCTCTAGTTCTTTTTCTTCAACCCAGACAAGTTTGTTCTCCTCAACACATTTTTTCTGCTAAAACAAATGTCACAAATTTGGTGGATGTCAACGTTCACATGTGAAATGTTGACAGAATGCCAAGCAAATTTTGCGAATGTCTGAAAGTTCAAACATATACTGCAGCGAATGTTGACAGTAATCAAAATGTAATTGTCTACAGTCACTGCTGTGTGTTTGGAAAGTGGGGAAATATATATTCAGACATGAACAAAATTCAATTGAGACTGTCAGCATACATACACAGGTGAATGCCAAACTTTGCTGCAACATATCTCCATCCACTTTCACTGCCCCCAGCTAGGAATGGAGGAGACATTAGTTCCATTTGCATTTTAATGTGAACCTACCTAATTTGCACTTCCCAGACCAAGACATAAGCTGGAATGCAGCTGTCCTTCAAGTGCACATCTCCAAACAAATTTGTAGTGCAGCTCTCCAACCAAAAATACATACCGTATTTTTTGCACCATAACACTCACTTTTTTTCTCCTAGAAAGTAAGGGGAAATGTCTGTGCGTGTTATGGAGGGAATGCCTACGGGTGGCGGGGGGAATCTGCTGCAGTCGTGAGCAGAGGATCCATGGTTCCCCTTCCTTCCCTCCTCCGTGGCTCGCTTTGAAACAGCAAAGCAGGAGAAGAGCCGCTGAGTGGGGAGGAGAGAGGGACAGCAAGCCTGCTTCTTTAAAGGAGCAAAGCGGGAGAGGAGAGGAGCCGCTTACACGAGTGTAAGCGGCTCCTGTCTGGTTGGTTCCTTTAAAGCAAGCAGGCTCTCTGTCCCTCTTTCCTCCCCACTCAGCTCGCTAAATAGCAGCAAAGTTTTTCAGCTCGCTAAGCCGGGGAGGAGCAGGGAGGAGTGAGAAAAGCAGAGCCTGCTTGCTTTAAAGGAGCAAAGTGGGAGAGGAGAGGAGCCTTCTCCCCTTAAACCCCTCTTCTGCATTATTAGCAGCATCCTTCTCCACACACCCCAGGCGTGCTCCTTGTCCCTTGAGTGCTTTTCCTTCCCTCCCCACTTAAAACGTGGTTACAAAGCACGGATCCACATGGATCCTCAGGATTCTTGCACTGGGTCACCCCAAATTCACCATCAGATCACATAACATGTCCATGGCTACATCTTGCACCAAAAAAATCATGCACCCACTGTTGCCTGGGGCCACAGTGGTGCAAAAACGTGGTTACAAAGCATGGATCCACATGGATCCTCAGGATTTTTGCATTGGGATACTCCAAACTCACTGTCAGATCACATGTCTGTGGCCACAGCATGAACCACAAAATTCATACATCCACTGTTTTGTTTAGAATATTTTTTTCTTGTTTTCCTCCTCTAAAAACTACGTGCGTGTTATGGTTGGGTGCGTGTTATAGAGCGAAAAATATGGGTATATTAGAGAAAAGGAGCATACAAATATGAATATGATTGAAAACAGCATACAATTATATTAGGGGAAATTGTTTCCAAAATATGCATATTAGGAGAAATGCACATTAAAATGTATACAAATCTTCACGTGGACTTAAAAAAAGTTTCAAACTGATGTTGAACAGCAGTGAATTTGAACTTCAGGGTGGAAAAAATGAGAAACTGAGATAAATCAAAGCCTGCAGATTTGTGCATACCTACAACCACCACAGCCCAGAGTGCCCAGCTGAGTACACAAGGTCAAATTATGCTTTAGCATATTATGTAGTTTTAAGATGCAGTTTTGCATCTTAAACATACCCTCCAACATTCCACTGATTAAAATCAGGACACGCATCTTGTGGTGCCATGCTCCTATGGGAGCCAGCTGGGGCTTCCACGCTCCAGCTCCCTGTCTTTGTTACCAATAGCAGCTCCCTCAACAAGCGCCGCATCTGCACCTCCAGCTCCTCCTCTGCTTCCTCTTCCCCATTGGGGTTCAGTTGTTGTTTCGTAGGCAGTCCCTGGAATCATGGTTTGGGATATTATACTCTTGGCAGCAAATGAGATTTCCCCCTGAACTTCTTCTCTTCCTGGGATTGTCAGACCCATCCCCATTTCCTTCGTTCCCTTCCTCCCACTGTCGGCTGAATGTTCCAAACTGTTTATGAGGCAATGGTTTTGCTCTGATGCTGAAATAGTATATGCCAGAGGCCAGTTCAAAGGCTATCTAAATGATAACTTGTATTAGCAAACTTGTCATTTATACACCAAACCAAAAAGGCTTTAAGTGAATGAAAATATTTATTAGGACAGCATGTTTGTCAGCTCTTTCATAGAGACATATTTCCCCTTGTAACTGGGGAATGTTTATCTCACTTTGGACGCCAGAAGCTATGTGCTATTGGACGGTTTATCACTACAACACATTCCTGTCAAAATATTGTGGCCTTGCTGACACCTAGAGTGATTTTGATAAGAACGTGTGACCATAAAAGCATTAGTGGCTTATCAAAAGATGATTTCTGCAGTTAGAATCATTTCCTTGCCTTTCCTAGATGAGTTTTACCTCATATGCTGCTGTCAAGAAGTGTTACGTTTTACTTATGGGGGCCTTTATCTCACCAGACTGGCATATGATTGCATCTGTGTTATCTGAAGAAATTACACAGCGGAAACAGCAGCCAACCGACACTCAATCGACACTTTGATTATACTTGCTGCCTCATCTCTTGGATCGTCTTCACAGGAGTTTACTGAAAGTTTCAGCAGGGTCTTGGCTGAGGAAGTGGCACGTGTTAATCATATTGTCTGAGTCCTGGCAAGATGGAAGCACTGAGGGCGAGCAATTCCTGAGTCCACCTAATTGGTCACACTCCCCCTGAAGGAGCAGATTCATAGCCTGGGGCTGCACCTAAATTTGGAACTTCCTCCTATTACTGTAGCTCAACAGTAGAGCATGTGTTTTGCATTCAGAAGGCCCCAAATTCAATACTTGGCAGCTCCAGGTAGGGCTGGAATCTTGCAAAGCCCAGTGCAATAGGCAGCCATATGGCTCCTGCCCCACCATCACCCTCCCTCCACCCTTAGGCCAACCCTATCATTAGGCAGGCCTCAGGCAGCTGGTTTTGGGTGCCATGAAAGGGTAGCAAATTGAGGTTTTACTTTCTTTACTGCTAGGAATGGTTTTCTCAGGGCCCAAACAAGTTGGCCAGCCTTGTGGAAAGGGGATCTGTGCACTTTCATCAGGGCTGGCCCAAGACATTTGCAAACCACAAAATGGTGCCCACACCACCACTGCCAAGGAAGAAGGGGTGAGTGAAGATCTACATTGGCAACAAGGGAGGGGGGCATCAAATCAACCTTTCTCAGTGGTTGAAGTGGGAATCAGAGGCCATTGTGTGGGGGGAAGGGACTCATTCTGAACCACACCAAACAGGTGCAGACCCCAGGAGACCCCAGAGGGCAGCTCCCGCCATTTCCTCCCTGGGGTGGAGAAGAACAGCAGTGCTTCCTATTTGCCAAGAGCCTGCTATAGAGGTGGCATTGGGAGGGGCTGCCGAGGAGTATGCTGTGGCCATGCCTGCCACTATGGCAGAGCAGCAGCCATGGGTGATGTGGAGCTTAGATCTGCTGCCCCTGTGGATCCTGCTGCCTGAGGCAGTCGCTTTACATTGCCTCATGGGTGGGCCGGTCCTGACCTTGAGGCAGAGGATTTGCTGCTCTGCTGCATGCAGCAAAATGTCTCTTGGGCTAGCCCTGTGCCACTCTGCATTGAGTGCAGGAGAAGGCCCTCCTCTTCTCCACCACCCATACCATCTTAATGCATTTTTATTTTATTTTTTAGTAAATGGCATTCTTCAGTAGCGCTAAATAAAGCAGTGTTCTTGGGCTGGAATACAAAGATTAGAAAGAAGCACTGACGCTTACAATAGGCTACCCAAGGAAACTGAGGCCTTCCATTTGGTTTCCTAGTAGCAACATCTCACATAGCACACACACACAGTGTCACTCAAGCTGACCTGAATAGCCAGACCATCTTAACAGCCTCCCTTTCAAAGTGCAGCATTGTTTTCCTTCCTTCCGTCATTGGATACATTCGCATTTGAAGGTGAATATGCAGAGAGCCAAGAGTCTGAGCCCCTCAGAGCCACTGTTGTGTGTCCAGCAATAACAACTCTGTTGTGGAGAGGGAAAGGGAAGCTGTTGTGCTTTGCTAAACAGCAGGGGGGTTGGCGCTGCGCCAGCCTGAGTATTCTTGGGTGTGGGGGAAAAGGCCGTTCACAAAACCTTTTTATTTTTTTTCGAGAGGATGGTGGGAGGGGGTGGCACGGAGGATATCTACCTTTTCCATTACACCACAGCCTGGTCAACAATGGTCATTTCCTTCTCCCATATTATCAAAGTTCCATTTGGGGGCCGCGGTCTCAGCCAGGGCTCAATTTTCAAATGGCTCTCGTTTAGGGGTATCCGGCTCCCTGAACCCCCCCCCCAGCTCGACGCCTAAATAAATAAATAAATAAAAAGGGCAGAAATGGAACGATTTTCACCCACTGTTAAGAAGCCATCTGGTTACGTAGCTCTGCAAAGTGAGATAGATAAGGAGCTGCATGATACCCATGTAAGGCAATTTGCTGGCCTGTTCATCATACCTGACTCTTGGGTGCACGGCTTTGTTTACTATTGGCTCAAGAGAGAGGGAGAGAAAGCTGTACAGCTGCAGCACGCGCTGCCGAAGCCAACAGATGGGCATCACTGTAAGAAAGCCACATGGCATTTTTTTTTCTGTTGTTGTTGTTAAATTCAGCTCATTAGGTTTTATCTGCAATATGTTGCTGTATTGGCAGAAAACAGTGAGCGAGCTGCTGCGGCGTCCGGCGATTTGTCAACAGCTCCACGCAAGATTTGGTTGAGGGAAAAGTGTATTTGCACAAGTGAAGTTTGATTGCTTTTAAAAGCCCAGAATGAAAACAACGACACACACACACAAAAATCCCACCCTAGTCCATTCTTCAAACTTTCTCTTAAGTCACCCTCTATAATGTGTATCGAAATGGCAGTCCTGACCAGCATATTAATTGGATTGCTATTCAGCCTTTACAATTGCTGGTGCACTTTGGATTTGTCAGCACAAAAAAGGAGAGGAGGGAGAAAAGAAAGCGAGAGAGTTTTCTCTCTGCTCTTTCTATGTAAGGAGAAGCAAAAACACCTCACAGATTTAAGGTTGCTAGATGGCCCTGTGTTAAAAGAATATGGTAGCGCTGTTGTTTTTGCTCTAGGCAATGCCTTTGAAAGACCATGGGGAGAAAAGCTGCCGGATGGGCGGGTGATTTGGAGTGAGGAAACGGTAGGGAAAGGGTTGTGCTGCCACCTCCCCACACTATCACTCTGCTTCCAATTGCCCCTACCCAAAGGAGCTTCTGCTGCTTGCTCAGACCTCCTCCCCGGTCAAATTAGGCACACAGTCAGGAGGCAAATGAAGTAGGTTGACTTTTGCTTCAACCTGAGAGGCAGCAGCAGGCAGCATGATGGGGCTGCACCACTTGCCTGACCTCCCTCTGACTGAGTCCCTGCTGCACACCAGGATGGAGAGGTGGAGGGCTCAGGCAACGACAAGTTTGGTGAGGTGCAAATGTGCTGGCAGAGCCAATCCAATGCTGGTGCTGGTGTGCTTCCACCCCACCATGCTGTCTGTTACTGCTGAGAATATGGGTGATTTTTGCCTGGGAATAATAATAATAATAAAAACCCCTCAGGCCCACCTAGAGGTTATTGAAAAGAGATGACATTGCAGGACTGCTGTACTCCCTCCCCCAGCACCGTCCTCCAAGCTGTAATACAGTTATACAGTGGTACCTCGGGTTACAAACATCTCAGGTTACAAACACTTCGGGTTACAGACTCTGCTAACCCAGAAGTAGTACCTCGGGTTAACAACTTTACCTCAGGATGAGAACAAAAATCACACGGTGGCGGCGCGGCATCAGCAGGAGGCCCCATTAGCTAAAGTGGTACCTCGTGTTAAGAACGGTTTCAGGTTAAGAACGGACCTCCGGAATGAATTAAGTTCATAACCAGAGGTACCACTGTAATAGTGAACTACGCAGCAGATGGTTGCATACTGCTCTCTCAGGCCAACATTCAACATTCAATGGGGGAGAAGAGCAATGAGTAACACTGCAAAGTTGTACCCAACTTCCAACATAAATGCCTCAGATTGCTCCACTGATTTCTATAAACCACTCTTTTAAATAAAAAAAAAATAAAAAAACCTGGGGACATTTTGAGAGTGAAACAGGAGATTACATTTCCAGACAATGAGATGGTTCTCTTTATTTATTTTAATCTCTGTGTGGTCTTTTCCCATCCCTCCCATTTCATTCACCTCTCTCAACTGCTGACAATTTCCCCCCTCTGTGTCTCTCACCATTCTGCACTATTGAGCCTACTGATCTCTCCCTTTTGCTACATAACCACAAGCATGGAATGACTTGAAGCAGCATTAAAAGGAAGAGTGAAGGACATTGAGACTGAGAGGGGCGTAGGGAGGCTCACAACAGGTGGTGGCAGAGCCAATGGCAAGCAATGATAGATGGAGCTAATTAGTTCTGGTTTTGTCCCATCCTCCTTCCTGCTGAATTCTGCAAAGGCAACACTGAGACTATGGGGGAGGCAGGTGACACAGCCAAAATCACCCACTGGACTAGTAAGTAAGGAGCCAGGCAGGTGGGAACTGGCTGAGGACAGACAAAGCTTGGTGGGACAGTGCCCCATTTCCCCTAATGCACCAGTCTCCACTGTCAATGGGTTATATCCATGACTTTATGGGATATGACATCTAAACATCTAGACATTTTGGGTGCTGTTGCAAAGAGACCCTCTGAAGGCAAATGCTGGTTTCATCTACAGAAGCAAACAGTTTTCTTTTATCATCATCCTTTTCAGTGTTGAAATGCCCAGACATTTTACAAGGAATGGCAACCGACACAAAGCAGATAATAAAATAAGAGAAACGTTTATCCTCTTGAAAAATATTCCCATTTCCTAAGAGTGACTCTTGTCACTTTTGACACAGAGCCTTTTCCATCCTTCCTGAAACATACGCTCCCCACCTTTGCCTTTTTCTATTTTGCTCTGGATGTCAAACTGAAACTATATCTGGTCACACATGAAAAAAGCCAAATTCCCCTAGTAATTGAACTCTGGGCACCTTCGTCTCCTGCCAACATTCAAAGTGTATCAAAACATTTCTGCGAATGTTGCTAAACAGATGCTTTCAGAGACAGAGGGAGGAATTCCTCCTTCCAAAAGGCACTGTATTTACAGATGCAAAAGAAAAGCAAATGCACAACAAGGGGTGGGGGAAGCTGGCAGGTTTATCCTCAGGAAGGATTTCAGATTAGATATCAGCTCTAGAGAAAACTCAGAAAGATCTTCTGGAATCCAAAGTGCAATTGTTATTCATGAAGATGTATGTGATCGACATACTGCACATTCCAGGCTGGCCTTGGCAGTGAGTGCAGTCAAAGCCTAGATGGGAAAGAATGAAGGGCAGGGGAGAGAATATCAAAACACCTCTTGAAGGAAAATAGAATGCAATGGAGAATCAACAGTTACCAGGAGGAAGGGAGGGAGGGAGGGACAGCAAGAGAGCATATTTCAGCACTCAGTGAGGGTTTTGTCATGGTAACTATGAGTAGCTACAGAGGCTCTGGTAAACATGAGGCTGAGAACTCCATCCACTTATACAGAGTGAGAGCAGAGGGGGTGATTTGTAGTGAATAAGCAGCATGAAGAAGGAAGCGCTTAACCCATTCAGTGGCTCCCAGAACTGGACACAGTATTCCAGGTGTGCTGCAGCTGAATACAGCCCTACGTTTGGAGTTCAAATCTGATTGGGGTATTTCACAACCCGTCTGCCTGAAATCTCAAAATGCAAATGTGGATGATTTGGATTTCTAAATGTGAAAGTTTTGAAATTATGAATTATGAATGGTTCAATTCATT